GCGGCGGTTGTGCCCACGCGATGGCTGTCCACACGTAATGACCTTAGACAAGACACGCACGCACGGGACCTAGGCACTTGCTAACTGGCCGCAGTTTCTCAATGGGCCACTTAGGTTCGCCACAGCAGATGATGCACCCAATCAGGCCACAAGCGAACGCGCTTGACGATCACTTATAAGCCACTGTCACCTCCCAGACAGTGAGTAGCACACGGACTGCGAGGACACCGTCTGTCCGCACCCGAATGCCGGGGCTTAGCCCCGAGGCGGGGACATCAGCGCGTTGGATATCAACCAGCCGCAATCGCCACCCGAGAAAGCATCTGCGGATTTTGTACACAATAAACTCTCCTCCGGGTGGATTCCAAAGTTACGCCCTTCTTTTTGTGTTCTTCCTTGGGGAGTCCAACGATCGTAATTAGGCGGTGACACCACTGAGGTCACCATCACAATAATTTCGGCGTAAAAATTATCAAAGTAAATTTGGTGCTGTGCTTTTCTTACCACATTTGGAGTCTTTTTCTTCGCTCTTCGCCAACCATTTCTCGTTTTAGACTGCTAACTGTAAAAAAACGCCTAACTGCGAACGTTTTCTGTGTTTAAGCATTTACTTTTTGGTTATTGAATGTAAATTCATATTTGTGCTGGAAGCGATCAAAAAATATTAAATTAAAAAAACTTATATTAATTTCAATGTACGTAATGGGATAAAATCCATCAACATAAACTCTCCTTGCTCAGGATATTGATGCCACTTGAGGGAAATTCGTCCTTATTTTGGCAGAATTTAACATGAAAAAGTAAAGGTGTTTTACCGAAAATGTACAAGTAAGTTGCTGAAATAAGTCAAAGGCAAAATAGACCTCTAAAGACAGTCCTGCCGTGATCGTTTAGCGCACATGGTAGACTTAAACCATTGCGTAGATGCCAGATAGGCAGATTGATTAAAAGGTGCCCTCCAACTATTCAAAATTACTCTGTTATTCTTTTGGATAGGCGCTGGCTCGTACGACCAATATAACTTGCTCCACAGGAACAAGTGAAAGAGTAGATGCACATTGAGGTGGTCTGAGCTGGTAACCTATCCTTATCTTCCCCATGTAAGATTGGATTGGTTGAGAATAATACCTGAACTCTGGCTGCTGGGAAGGTTCTTGTAACGGCTTGGTCAAGGCGCCTTTTCAGCAGTCTAATTGCTGCGTCCCCTCGAAAGGGGACTTTGAAAAATAATGTTTTCTTTTCAACAGTAGGTGCGATGGTTCTTATTTGTTTCTCCATCATGTTCCTTATAATACATGTCTCAGGATATTCACGCAGTAGGTCCTCAATTTTCTTGAGCTCCTCCTCAATACTGTCTGCTGGGCAAATTTTTCTAGCCCTTTGCACTAAGCATCGAACTAGATTTCGCTTCTATTGAAGGGGTCCGAAACTGTTAAAATTCGCGTATTGTCCAGACCATATTTTCTTTCGATACACGCTCCTTCGGACGCTACCGTCAGGTCTGCGACTTAGGAGGACGTTCAAGAACGGCAGCGAACTTGCCTTTTCTACCTGCAGTGTGAACTTAATGGATGGGTGTGCTTGGTTGACCGCATTTAAGAGTGCG